TTTCCCCTCACTTTCCTGTCCTTTTCCCCTCACTTTCCTGTCCTTTTCCCCTCACTTTCCTGTCCTTTTCTCATGCTCTGGCTCCACAAGCGGCGCTGACGTGAGAGCTCTGGGATGTTCTCCTGGCTCCAACGTGCCATGTTTTGTGTTCTCACCTCCCAGCTCCTGCCGGGCCGCGCGTGGTGCACAGGCCTGAAGGTCTCTGTTGTTTCTGGGCTCACAAGGCTGGTGCAAACACCTCCCAGCCGCTCACCCGGCTTCAGCCGGACCCCTTTGCGTCTCCAGGGCTGCTCCGGGCATCTGGGAAATCCCTGATCCCGTTTTGTTGACGTCGCCATCTGCCCCAGACCCTACGTGCGCCGGACCCGGGCGCGACGAGCTCCGGTGGCAGCTGCAGGAGGAGGCCCCGGAGCGGGAGCCGTCGGAGCGGGACGGCGCGAGGCTCCAGCAGCAGCTGGACACGATCTCGGCAACAGGGAAGAGCCCCGAAGCGCTGCCCCTTTCCCCCCAGCTTTGGCAGGGGTCTCGTGGATGTTCAAGTCAATACAGGAATGATGCAACTAGACGGTTGAGCAGAGAGGGAGGAAAAAAAGGAATCTTGTAGAGGCCCCCACATATCCATAGGGTGAGTTTGTGTGTGATCAGATACCAGCAAGTCCACGTGGGAGATGCTGCCTACAAACACGCTAACCACAAAAACATTTTCATTCTCCGTCCGCGTGGTTTCACCAAGCGCCGCCGTCGGAAGCAAGTGTTGGTGCTCATGGGGTGGCCTTTTACATCTAGAGAAAGCTGAAATTCCTCAGCACTCGTGTGATTCCTGGTGCCAAGGATTTAAGGAAAAAAACAGTGTAAATCATGAAACTGGAGGTGAGAGCCAGCGTTGGGAGCAGCGCTGCCCCTCCGCGCTCCGACCGGCACAGAGAGCTTTGCCTGCCGTGCGGACGCGCCGGAACAGCTTCCCTTTCCCAAACAATGCCGGGCGGAAAGCTTTCAAGTGCCTGTGTCCGAGAGGGAAATCATTTATTTATCTCTGTAACATCCGTTCTCCGAGTGGTTAACAATTCCTGGGAATGCAGAGAGACTTTTGCCGTTCTCATTGACTCCTCGTCGCCGTCACTGTTCGCTTTGGTGCTGGCCGAGGTGACTTTCCCTTTCCGTCTCCCGCCGGGCTCTTCCTGCCTTCCCCGCCACAGACGTCACTAGGACACACGTGCTCGGGCTGCACAAGTAGAGTATTTTACTATATTTTACCAGTTTTACCAGTATTTTACTATATTTTACCAGTATTGGTGCTTCTCTGCTGGCCATTGGCTTGGAAGGATGCTGCCTTTTCCGTCTCCTGGAGCATGGCTTGGGGTTTGGCTCCTCGCTCCCGCTCATGACACCTTTCCAGGGGCTTTTGCCGGCCTTGCTGCCCTGCCCTGTTTTGCTGTGTCCTTGCCCTGGTGCTTGTCCAGCTGAAGCAGATGTAGAGCCATTGCTGGGACATCCCTTTCCATATCCTGCATTAACACTTTTCCTGTGGATTCCTTATTTTAAGCCCCCTTGGTTATTTTCCCATGGTTTTGATGCTATACATGCTGTGTGCCGTCCTGCTGCTTCACTTAACTGCTGGGATCTGATCCTTAAAACTATTCCATGTTGCTCCTGCACCAAATAACCTCCGTATTAAACCCAGCTTGTGTGTAGCTCTGTTTTATCCAGCAGCATGGAGCTTTCCACGGGGATTTGGCATTGCAGCCTGCAGCTCTTCTTGGTTCTGCCCTTAAACTGGGCTTTGGAATAAGCAGCGCTCGGGCCTGGGGGACATTGGGCCCTTCCTTGGGGGCCAAGAGGGACGGCAGGAGCCTCACTGGTGACCCAGGGCCATTGCAGGGTTGAACTGTCCTCTGCCTTGAGTCGCATCCTGCCTTTCCAGGCCAGGAAAGGTGGGAGCAGGGCTGGGAAGTGCGTTGGGGCCGGCGGCGCCCGGCTCCGCAGTCGTCTCCCGGCGGGATTTCTCGCTCGGTCGGGAGCCGGCGCCTCTCGTTTCCGAGATTCTCCTTTTACACGATTCAGCTAAACGTGGCCTTGCGGCCGGCGGCTGCCGCTGGATGAACGTACTCCCTGCCCTTGGGTGTGTTTAGGAGAGGTGAACAGAGCCTCACCTCAGAGATCCTGTATTATTGCTACAGAACATTACTATAAAATAACACAGCATCGTTAGGGGCTGCACCCATGCACCCACCAATTTTCTATGGCCTCAAACTTCCTCCTTTTTTTTTTTTTTTTTTTTTGATCCGCAATTTTCCTTTTCCCTGTGCTCATGCAGAAGACCCTTGCACGCAGCAGCGGCAATGTGTTGCAGTGGCTTCCAGAGCACCTGGGAGAAAGCAGTGGCTCTGCACCCATTGCTAAGCAACGGGGAGAAATGTTTTCCTTGGGCTCTATTCTTTTTCCTCTGGTTGCAGTCACCTTGCACGGCGCTTGCTGAGAGAGCCGACCGAAACCCTCGGCACGGAGGGGCCAGCGGGATGGAAGGCGCCTGTGGGGACGAGCAGCAGCACATCGGGACTGGCCTTCGCGCTGGGGCAGCAAAACTAGCCGGGGATTTCGTCGTCCCCTTGGAGCTGGGCACAAAGAGCAGGGCAAGGCGGATGGTGAAACGGGAAGATGTTCCCGGGAGCCTGTTTATCCACAGGGCTCGGGCCGTGATTGTGGCAGGGCCGAAGCCGGGCAGCCCGTGACCGACCCTGGGGAACTGCTGGGTAAAACTCCGGGCACGGGTTGTGCCAACCGAGCAGGGAGGAGATTTCCCCCTGGCAGACAAAGTGCTCCAAGGACTTTTTCCTTGGTCCTGGAATAAAAGAAGAGGTGGTGCCGCCTGATTATTTTGGTTATTAGATTTTCTCTGACAGAGTGTTTTAGCTGAGCAGAACCTTGGCGAGGCAGGGACAGTGGAAAACTCTCTGGGTCAAAAGCTGGATATTGGAGAAGTTTGGCCTTGGCACAGCCCGGCCTCCGGCCGACGATCCGTGCAGCTCCGCGGCGCTTTCCCCGAGCGCCTGGCCCAGCAGCAGCGGGAAGGGCTTCCCCGGCCCCTACAATGGCAGGAAATGTCCCCACCTCCGGCGCCAGCGCGGGGCCGTTTCCGCAGCCCGGACGAGCTGGTGACTCCCCCGTAAAGCACCGCTGAGGTTGGTGACCTGGAGCTGCGGTCACTTGTGTCCCCGGGAGCTGGTCGGGCTGCAGGAAGGGGGATTTATCGCCCTGTCCCCTGGAGGTGGCAGTGGCCGTGAAAGCCCTGAGGAGTCGATGGGACATTTGGAGCTGACGTCAATGCCAAGCACTTGGTGCTGAGGAGCTTGTTTGTGTTGCCCAGCTGAAAGTGATGCTTTTTAAGTGAGTCCCAGTCATTAATCCTTCTCATAAAGCCACCACTCCTGGAGTTGGGCGTGTAGAAAGCACGTGTAGAAAGTCACGGTGCTTCTCAGATGTTTTCTGCACCATCAGGGCTGTGGAAGAGAAACCCCGGAACGTGGTGTCGCTTTCTGCTCTGTGCCGAGGAGCAAATAAGAAGCCCTGTGAAGTTGTTTGTGTTAATCTTGTGATTTTGAGGAGGCTGCTGCGTGTTTGGGGTTGGCTGTGGGGAATGAACATCCCGGCCACGGGTCCTGACCCCGCTTGGAGTGTTTGGCTTCTTGGACCCGGGAGAGGGGAAAGGAAATGGACTATTTTTAAACCCTCGCATTCGGCTTCCTGCCTGACGTGATTTATTATCCATTATCAGAAGTGTTTCTCCCCTGAGCTCGTCTTTAGTGGTCAACAAAGGGAGTGGGGAAAATTACCCGTCACATGGAGCCGCATCCCGCAGCAGAGGTCAAACAAAACCAGGGTGTTTGTTAGGAGTTTTGCCAACTGCAAATGGCCAGGGCTTTTGTATATTATGTGCACGGGGTTAGGGCCAGCCAGCCCCATTGTGGGCTGTAATTTCATTGCCCAGAGCTAGTGGGAAGGCGGCCTCTGTCCCGAAGGCCTCGGCGTGCAGGCAGGGAGCTGGTTTTGTTGGGAAATGGGGGGGGGGGTTGCACTGCTGGGTTGCACAGGAATCCTTGTGGATCTGGTTGCCTGTTTCCCAGGGAATCTGAGAGGATGGAGCTGCTGCACTCCAGTCCTGTCGGAGGATCCCGGCTTTGTGCTGGTCCTGCCGGAGGATCCCCAGCTTTGTGCTGGTCCTAATGGTGGATCCCGGCTTTGTGCTGGTCCTAATGGTGGATCCCGGCTTTGTGCTGGCCTTGCAGGAGGATCCCCAGCTTTGCGCTGGAGCGGGATGTGCCGGACCCCGGGGGCTGTTGCAGCTGTGCAAGGGCCGAGGCCTTGGGCCTGGCTTTGGTGCCAGGCCGGGCTTTGGTGCTGTCGGCAGCAGCTGCAGCCCCGCGCGGGGGGTTCTCGAGCATGCGAGGAGGAAGAGGAGGAGGAGGAGGAGGAGGAGGAGGAGGAGG